AGACCCTTTATATTCTAGTTAACATGTTCTAAGTACTTATAAGCTGATATATTGAGACCCTTTATATTCTAGTTAACATGTTCTAGTTACTGATAAGCTGTTATATTGAGACCCTTTATATTCTAGTTAACATGTTCTAGTTACTGATAAGCTGTTATATTGAGACCTTTTATATTCTAGTTAACATGTTCTAGTTACTGATAAGCTGTTATATTGAGACCTTTTATATTCTAGTTAACATGTTCTAGTTACTGATAAGCTGTTATATTGAGACCCTTTATATTCTAGTTAACATGTTCTAGTTACTGATAAGCTGTTATATTGAGACCCTTTATATTCTAGTTAACATGTTCTAAGTACTTATAAGCTGATATATTGAGACCCTTTATATTCTAGTTAACATGTTCTAGTTACTGATAAGCTGTTATATTGAGACCTTTTATATTCTAGTTAACATGTTCTAGTTACTGATAAGCTGTTATATTGAGACCCTTTATATTCTAGTTAACATGCTCTAGTTACTGATAAGCTGCCTCGGACCCAACTCCTTCTTGACCCATATTCTTTTAAGTGGTCGTCAGTAATTATATCTTCCCACTTGACCTTCCAGGTCATTGAGTTCAACTCTGCTTCCAGCTTAATCCTCCTGGAAAAAGAGAGAGAGAGCAGATGATATAATAGTTTATTCATGTTAAAGAAATAAATAATAAATAAAATATAAAAATAATAATAGTAAAGAAAAAGAAGAAGAAGGGTAACTACAAAATGTAACGCAAAATTGGCCTTTTTTTATATGAAACTCTACTATTATCAACTATTCATGGCTTCTGTTGCTCACATCAATAAATACCTTAAAACACACAGAATCTTAAAGTTTGTATAAAATGCTACAATTCTCACCTGTATACGAAATACGAAGATGCAGAAAGAACTACCAGTAAGCCACTCAAAACAGCACTTACGATAGCGTACTGAGGAAACTCTGCAAGTTAAATAAACGATAAATTATTAAAACACGAAGTTTACAAGTTCTATGTCAAATATTGTCTACTACTGACGCGCTTACAAGAAGTGTTATCGGCGAGTATGTTCGGTGACGGGAGTTGAACCCGCGACCAGTTCATCTCTAGTCAATTATTACAATTATTTAGCAATAACTAACTGAGACCAATGTTCCAAAGTTCGTAATTTCTAGGGAAAAAGGGGGTGGGGGTGGGTACCGGATCCTTGTTGTTTGGGTGGGAAAAAGCAATTTAAACGTTATTGAGGCTATTAGCTGGGACGTGGTTGAATTAAATTAATTGATACACATCAAACATGAATTTGAAATACAGCCGAAATAATCTAAAAATTTCAGTTAAAAAAATTCAAAACCAAATTTACACACTGGTGTTCCGTGTCCATTCTTTATAAAACTTCTGTTAATTTAGACTACATTATCTCTAAACACATACTGCACTGACATAAAAGACATTTATAGAATGTCTACAAATTAATGAATCCCCTTATTAATTGAATAGAATGAGAACTACACATGATTGTGGTTTAATGGAGGATAACACCCCAATTTTGTCCACGACCAGTGGCGTCTTTAGCACGGTATAGCAACGTTCTTGTAGCTACGACGGACGTGGAGATGATAATCGATCTTCTCTGAGGTGCATCTCCGGAGTAATCGTCTCAATCCCTTTGGTTATTCGGGTACTCATAATCTTATAGAAAATGTATTTCCCATAATTCCATCTAAACTCGTTGAGAGAAAACTTCACACAACCGCCAAAATGTCGAAACCATGACTGTTTATCTAGTGTAGTTCTTAATCAACTCAATAAAAAAAGGGGTTCAGTACTTTATAAACACCCTGTATTATTTAACCTACACGGTACTCTATGAACCCTTTGTAGTAGTTAAACTACACAGTACTTTATGAACCCCTGTATTCTTTAAACTACACAATACTCTACGAACCCCCTGTATTATTTAAACTACACAATACTCTACGAACCTCTGGTATTATTTAAACTACACAACACTCCATGAACACCCTGTATTATTTAAACTACACACTACTCTATGAACCCCCTGTATTATTTAAACTACACAACACTCTATGAACACCCTGTATTATTTAAACTACACAGTACTCTATGAACCCCTGGTATTATTTAAACTACACAATACTCTATGAACTCCCTGTATTATTTAACCTATACAGTACTCTATGAACCCCCTGTATTATTTAAACTACACAATACTCTATGAACCCCCTATATTAGTTAAACAACACAGTACTCTATGAACCCCCTGTATTATTTAACCTATACAGTACTCTATGAACCCCCTATATTATTTAAACTACATTCTAATTCAAGTGCTCCTTACATTTTGAAATTCTTTTAGATGTATAAAACTCTATTTTTGTTTTATTTAACTTTTTTTTGCATAATAATTTCACTTACTCTCATCCGGACACTTGGAACCATCAAATCCACAAACAGGGGTGTCAGGAGGTGGCTCTGAACGTCCACCCGCCCAATGGATTTTCTTACCGACCACATTTTCAAACCGTTTAGTAACACCATGGTAGTTAGCCACAACCTGGACACATATAAACATACACGGAGACCTAAAGACATGTGATGAGCTTATTTATTCAAAAACCTTAAGGTTTAAATCAAAGTGTTGATATTTTCGAACGATACATGTACAAGTAAGTGCCTTTAAAAGATGGTGACATACTGAACGTTAAGCCAGATCGTGAAAATCAGCTAACGTCGTAGAAATAGCAAGTGCCTTTAAAAGATGGTGACATACTGAACGTTAAGCCAGATCGTGAAAATCAGCTAACGTCGTAGAAATAGCACAATAACTCAGAAACTTTAAAACGTATTTCAATATCATTGAGAAATTTAAAATAAATTATAAATATTATTTAAACAATTTAATCTTAAAGTGCTTTCAGAAATATCACCTATAATTATTTTGATCTTCGATATATAAACTATTTAATCATAAACACCTTAGGTGTGCAAAAAAAAAGGTTCGGCCAATAAAAAAAAGGATTCATCGTGCGACTAAACGGAATGGAATGAAAACTGGCGTCCAAACTGATAGCTATACTTACAGCATTGGTGAGAATTTTACAGCAAATATTCATTCATTAGTTAGCCATGCCGCTATGTAAAATGTATAAAAAGTGTGTGTGTGTGTGTGTGTTTTTTTTAGATTTTTTTGCGTAAAGCTACACAAACGTTATTTGCCTAAAGGTGTCTCTAATTAGGAGCCGATAGGCTTGTCAACAGAACTCGGAGCCTAATTAGGAGCCGATAGGCTTGTCAATAGAACTCGGAGCCTAATTAGGAGCCGATAGGCTTGTCAATAGAACTCGGAGCCTAATTAGGAGCCGATAGGCTTGTCAATAGAACTCGGAGCCTAATTAGGAGCCGATAGGCTTGTCAATAGAACTCGGAGCCTAATTAGGAGCCGATAGGCTTGTCAACAGAACTCGGAGCCTAATTAGGAGCCGATAGGCTTGTCAATAGAACTCGGAGCCAACTTTTGTTCTGCTCTTGTTTAATAAAAAAAAAAGACCACGAACCCTCGGATTCACAGTTCGGGTATGCTATCCACTGGGCCACGCCCAACCCATAGAGAGAGAGAGGTTTTTTTGTTTGTTTG